GCACACAAACAAACCGTGGATGATGAACTGCGCATGTGTTTTTTAATTCTAATGTTTAAATGTTTGTGTATTAACTACTCCACTAACGCCAGAGTGTCTATAGGGGTTTACACTTAAGCGGCGAGGAGCTGTGTGTACAAAGAGATAGTTCTGTGATAAGCTCCGCGGGTGGCCGTAGTGCAATTTAATAGGCACTAGCTGACTGTTTAATTGGATTAAAGATAAGCGATAAAGTCGATGTTACTCCTTCTGTTCTATTTTCTCTATGTTCTAACGTTCAATGTTCTTTGTAGGCTTTGGAATTTATGCGATCTTTATTAAACCTTAGCTAGACTAGAAATCGTAGGGTGTCGTAGTTCGTGGATCAAAGAATCTTATGCATACTTAAACAGGCCGTATATGCAGGGACCAAGGTCTAGCATTTCTCAAAAAGTCTCAGTGTTTGGGGCCATTGTCTTTTGAAGCATTAGCAAACCAGTATGACGAATTCAATTTCCAATCAATTTGGTATAGTTTACTTGCATTCCAAACAACATTATTCAACATCAAATAAGTGCTTTACAGCAAAAACACTCAGACGTTTTCCTATTGCCTGCCATCACTTTTTTGCATGTTTACAATTGATCCCCACTATATGTCATGTTACCAACCTAGCGGAATGTGTCTGTTGTAATAAGTGTTAGATTGTCCACCTCTTGTGTAGCGTCGTAAAACATTGAATTGAAGCCCAATGGGCTTAAGCTCACCTCTTCAGTTTGCAAAATTATCATTGAAAAAGAGTGAAAGGAAACCCATGGGCTTCTTATCAAGATAGCATAGGCTTCTTTTCAAGATGTACAGTACATACACTGTACATGAATTTCAAAGAAACAAAATAAATTAAAAACATGCTTGGTATATATGATCGATCGAATAGTTTACATGATTTAATGCCAGTTCCAGACCTTACTGTGATAATTTATCAATTTTCTTGGAAAGTCTGAGATCAAAGCTTATAAATCCTGGTTTCCTTGATTTTGCTACACTGTTGCTAAAGTGTTTTCAGTGCAATCGTTGCACTGTGTAGCAGTCTCTGACGCAATCGAGAAGGTTTCACCTGAAAGCTGTCAGCGTTCTTGTAGCGATGAAGAGCTAGAGTACTGGCTTCATAATGATGAGCATTCTTTTGGGATGTGAAATGTTGATAACTTTCAGGATGATAACAAATTTTAAAGGAAATTAAATTGTCTGTAAATTTAGACATTTACAAAGTATAATTGGTACAGACATTGTTTCCTATAAAGCCTGGTTTCCTGTCTACGTAAAGGTCAGAATTTCTTACGTTTCATACGTTTCTTATCATTCTTACGACTCTTACGCAAAGTTGAAATAATGCCGATGTCAACGACATTTGCGTTGATCGTGTTGGGCTGCAGATAAACAAGCAATTTTCCCATTCCCATCGCTGCCTGTCCTTGTGTTTCAGCTGGAGGGCTGAAATACAAGTTACAATAGCGCACCATGTTTTGGATGAGACGTTTAAGCCGTTGGTCCCGTGTGCATTTGTGGCCTAGGTGCATGTTTAAGTACGCAGTACACTCTTCGGAAAAGAGTTGGGGATTTTCTCCCGTTGTACTGCCCAATCACAACCAGAAGGGACCCCACTGGAAATAAGTCTTCTTCTAGACTTTTTTGGGCTGTCCTTGGTGTTTACACCGAATAAATCCAATCCAGACAAGACACTAGGATGTTGTTCTTTATGGAGAACGAAAGGCCACGATGCGCATGCAACTTATAATTTTTATTGATGGTCAGTTTAGGTTATGGAAAAAAATGCTAGACACTTAGGCTATGCTCACACACAGCACCTAACGGTTAGCAAGATCCAGATAAATAACATACGCACTCACCCTTGCGTTCAAACAAAAAAACTCCGATCCAGATATCGATGATGATGAGATCACTGGCCAATAGTAAAGTAATAGTAAATGCGTACGTGTGGTTGGTTAATGATAGAAATGCACTCTACTTACAGTATTCAAAGCCTATCCAGATACTGGCAACGGTTAGTCCTAACCAATTAGCCATTCTCACATGGGTGCTAACGCGTGACTCCCGTTCCGGATACTGCAATAGGGCTTTAGTGTGAACCTAAAGTCCATACTACCTTAGACATACAGTATCATGGTTGTGGCTGAGGTGAGAACAATTTTGAAAATATAGCTCCTATGGACGTAAATGCATTAAAAATAAACTTATTTAGATGTTCCTAGGTAATTACACTCTTGTCGTATGCATGCTTATGCAGTAAAGAAATGCATGACTGTTAAATACATTTAACAATTAGCTGGCAGGACCGCGAAAAAAAAAAAAATTGTGTGACTTTCACGCTAAATGTGAGTCACTTGGCAGGTCTGAGTTCGGTATAAACAAATGAAGACAATATGAATGTGTTGAAGTTAAGTCACATTTTACTGTAAAAAAAAACTTACGTTCATCAAAAAGGTAATTATCAGTTAATGAATTTAGCTCATATAGGGCCTGTTTCTACTGGAAAGAAATAATCGATTAAAAATCGCTTTTTCGAAAAATCGCTTTTATTCTCGCAGTAGAAATGGGACCAGTTTGAAAAAAGCGATTAAAAAAAATCGATGAAAAACACGCAATGGATACCGTGTTTGAATGGCAAATAACCGATTTTGGCTGTGCAGCTTTTAGCTGCAACAGAAAAAAAGCGATTATCAGGTGAAATGTGACCTCCAGGTCCATCACTGCAAAGACTAGATCGTATTAGGCGCGAACTTTAAAAAAAATTAGTCCTTGTTCATGTCCTAGGCCACAAGCTAAAAACGTCAACAAACATGAGGAGTGACGAATTCGTTCTGTAATTTACTTTGTGGGGGGGGGGAGGATATTGGGCCTAGGACTCTCTGCTCATTTGGGCCTACCGTTGTCCTTGTTTGGTCGTCGTTCATAATTGTGCCGATGAGCACAGCCAAAAACATTTGCCTTCTCTCCCCACATAGTATCTTACTCCTCGTCATCATGACAGGAATGAAAAAGATACTATCCTATACCGTCACGAAAACCGATTTTCGAAAAGTAAAAAATGCAGTTGCAACGCCAGCAGGCTGTCTGGTACTCATTAAAAAAACGGTTTTAAAAAATCGATTATTTTGTGTTTATCAGTAGAAACACACCCATAGTTAACTCAAGGTACAAGTCTAGCTTGCAGGTTACTGTAGCATCTTTGGGGGTCAAAAGTTCAAGTTTAGTAGGCACATCATGAAATAATAAAGTGGGGGATGCATTTGATTAATGTAGTTGAAGGTGTTTTAATCCATTTCACTTTTAAAACTTGATCCAAGCAAAGTTGCATTATATCAAAGCAATGTCTGTGCCACAATAAGACTATGATACAGAATTTTTTTACTTGTCTATCATTAGGTTTCTAAACAAAACAGAATAATTCACTATAAAACATGTATCTGTGGCTTAGGTCTACCCTGGGCTACATGGATCAAACATTATTTTTACACTATCTAAATAATATTTTGCTTTCCTACCATTTCTTGCATTATTAGAACAAAACCATTTTTTATGTTGAACACAAAGAATACACGTTGTTTGCCATAGTGATTGATACCATAGTGATATTAAGATGCAATATAATTGAAACAGGTAAGGACTGCCGAGTGCAGTTTGCCGGTGGATTCAGATGCGTCAGACAGGCCAACACCCTCCTCTCGGCCATGACTGGTCTGACCAAAATAAGAAAATTTTTTTCTTGAGAAAATTTGGCCATGATACAAAATAAAATCTCACATTAAGGTGGCCCAAAATTACCCGGGTTTACCCCTCTGCGTCCCTGTCGCCTTCATCATCTCTTGTATATTGTTAGACGCTTTTATCAGACTGATAGTCCACCAGCCGTAAAAATCAATGCTTAGGGATCCTCTTCTCATTATATGTTTGTCATAGTTGTATTTTAAAGTATTTGATGTTAGTACTGGTGACTACGTAAAAAGAATGTTAACGAAAAATTGTATGCTTGGGGTGTGTCCACTTTTAGTATATACCCTCTTGTTTGATGTTGATATTAAGATTTATGGTATGGTGAAAATTTTGTACTATTATTTTATGTCACAGTTTCTTATAATAAAAATATTTCACAAGTAAAACAATCTACGATTTTTTCCTCAGGATAATTCCCAATGGAGCCCTACACCGTGTTCAACATGCTATTGTACGAATGGAGTCGTAGAGTGTAGTAATTCAACCTGTCTCAGCATTCAGTGCAACAGCGATGAGGTCCTACAGCTTGCTAGTGGTGATTGCTGTCCTAAGTGCGTGAAAGTTGGAAGTAAGTTTATTAATTAAGCTAATGAGGCATACTTCCATTTATTAATTTTAATGTTTGATGTTTACTCATGCAATAGTAATGTTATCTTAAAGTAATTAAACCTAATCAAGAATAATTAATGTCAATGAAGCTATTATATTCTACAATGTCCTGCCCTGTGTTAAAAAAAATAAAAAAAAATCTTGCTTCTGTTGTGTATATAAAAAAAAAAAAAAAATTAAAAAAAAATTAAAAAATAAAAAAAAAACGTTTTTCAATTTAAACTCTATTGCCGACCTTCACTAACAAATTTTATAATTTTTAAAATTAATTTAATAAACAGGAAATTCCATGATTTTTTCTATTGAATTTGTTTATGCTATTATAATTTTCAATTTTGTGCACAATTGTTAAAGATCTATAAAATTATATTAATTAAATTAACATTACTTAATAATAATTCATTATTTTGTTTGGTCTTACATTGTTTTCTTTGAGTTTACACACACTCTTTCTGGAACTTTATTTTCCAAAAGCGAAATTTTGAATCTTGAATTCAATTACACTCTCATTTTACAATTCATGATGCCTGGTTAGGATTTTCTTAAGTTGGTCTCATTAAAAATATTTCAATATAACAGTGATTAATGAACTTTCTAGCTTGTCTTGTTTTCTGTCCCCACCCAAACCTTACAAATCAGTCACTTCAATAAGTCGATGCAGAGCTAATCAATTCTCCGGGAAACGCTGCTTTAAAAAAAGCATTTTAACAGTTTGACTTTTTGGGTATTTAGCAAAATATTAAAATTGTTCCAAACATGGTGGTTGTGAGTCTCCTGTGTCGGTGATTCCAGACCTCTTATTGTGAAACATTTACCCATTCTTGGAGACCGTTGACACATAATCGTGGAATCTCTAGCGCCGTGTCTGCTTGTCATGTCATATCGCATGACAGCGAATGTGTTAAATGATGTAAGTACTCAAAAGTACAAAATATGTAATAAATAAAATATGTATTTTAGGTAATCAAATATTGTTTTGATTTTTTCTCCTCAGGACAATGTACATACTTAAATAAAGTCTATAGGCACGGTGAAAACTGGAGTCCAGCCAAATGTGCTAAATGCCAATGTAACGACGGCAGGGCTCAATGTTACGTTGCAGATTGCCTGCCAATCTCATGCCAGCAGGTAATTATCGTAACGAACGCGGAAACGTGACAGGAAAGATATTCCCTGTGAAAAAATATTTTCAGCATAAAGCTTTCTTTTTAATAAGTAATATGAAATTAAGTTAAGCTTGGAAATATCAGCTTATGAAAATCATAGTCTTAAAAAAAAATCTTTATCTTTTATGAGATGATCAATTTTTAAGACAGAAAAATCTATTCCTGCTATCCCCATCACCTAGCTTTTTAAATCTCTCAATCAGTTTGACCATCTATTTTGATATCATTCAACCCTCTTTTTATTCGCCTATTATCAACTTACAAGTCATCCCGACCCCTAGGGCAGTGAGAAGATTTTGAAAGTCTGCCAACGAATCAAGTAAACTCACTAAGGTGTTGCTGCTAGCCTATATGTATCTCTCATGTCTTCCACCTGTTCATCTTTATGTCAGTCAGGGATGCTTTAGGGAAAAGCTAGGCCACTTTTAAAAGATTGAAAGATTGATCTTTGTGATTCTTTGTCAATTGAACCTTTTTAAATGTTTTGTAGACTTGAGCTGTCATTGGCATCTTCTCAAATTTAACAACCATCCCAGAGTTCCCTTGTCATCTCCCATGGCGAGGTAGTAAGGACAAATTAAACACAGAATATTAAACTATAAGATTGCATGTGTTAACTGGAAAATTTATTAAATTGTTTGTAGGAGGCAGTGGTGGTGCCAGTGGGAGGGCATGAAGGGCATTTTCTCCCATCGGACAGGCCTGGAACCCCTGTCATCTGATGCCATGACGAGGTCGTCCTACCAAAAAACAATAATTTACTTATCAAAACGTTATTTTGATTGTTAATCCCTAATATTGTGGTCTAAAAGCACAATTAGGGCCATACTAAGCCAGGGATTTTTATTCTGGGACCCTGACCGAGGTACACTACTAGGAGGTACATGATTTCCTTTTGTAGTGTCTACCTATGGCTGTGATAGGTTGTGAAGTCCACTGATGACATAGTCCATTTTGCTATTTGGGGAATTTCCTTAATTTAATTGACTTAGTAATCTGGAAAATATAAACATTGCCATTACATCTTAAATAGCTACATTTTTTTTCATATCATTTTTGTCTGACATACGATCAAAGTACTGGATCTAGACATAATGACTAGTCAAAAAGCTTACTACTAATTTGGAGAAGGAATGGTCTGACCAAGATAAAAACATTTTTTCTTGAGAAAATTTGGCCAAAAAGGTATAAAAATGCGAACGATTTATGAACTTTAATGGATACTGAAATATAGAAAATAGAATGCTCTTAATTTCCTCGCAAATTAATATTTTCCACCTCTATATTTGAGTACTGTAAGCTGCGCTGTGACATCACTGCAAGTGCCTTAAGATCTGAATATTTTTGTTAAAATATTCCTGTCAAAATAAATGTTAAACTATTTTATGTATTAAGGCAAGACTCTCTTTATACCTTGGATTGGATTGGATTTATTCGGTGTAAACACCAAGGACAGCCCACGAAAGTCTTGAAGACAACTTATTTCCAGTGGGGTCCTTCTGGTTGTGATTGGGCAGTACACCGGGAGACAATCCTCTACTCTTTCGAAGATTTTTCTATGTTCTTTAACATGCAAATGGCCCATTAGTGCACTCAGGACTAACAGCATAAACGTCTCATCCGAAAGACAGTGCGCTATTGTAACTTGTATTAGAGCTCTCCAGTTGAAACACAAGGAGAGGCAGCGATGGGAATTGAAGCAGGGACCTAAGAGATCTCTAGGGTTCAGCACACACACAGTGGCTACCACCAGATTAGCCGACTGAACTAAGCTGCTAATCCTTGTTTAGCGAACCCACTGCCCGCCAATGATGATAATGTGGAACAAAAATAAAATTTTATTTTTGGCCAATTAACGTACGCCTGCTGCTGTCTTGAAATCTCCAAAAAGAAAATATTTATATTTCTTCCTAATTATATAAATTTAAAGCATTTAACTATCCCATTAAGTCTAAACTGTTTACATTCGCCATTAAAATTTAATTTTTATTTTCTCCTCCGTCTGAATGGTTTTGGCAAAGCTTGTTTGCTAAATGAGAAAACAAAATTTTATTTTTATTTTTTTTCCCACCCTTCTCTGACGATTTAAAAAAAATAAGTTTGTGAAACAAGGTATAAAAATAGTCTTACCTTATGTACTGTACCACTTTTAAAATAATGTTGAAAAGGTCAGAATATTGTTTGTCTTGCATTATAATTCCAAGATTGTTTTTTAGGATGGAGGATGGAGGGGGAGGGGAGGGGTGCCAGGCATGTCCAGGGCCCTGGGACAAAAAATGATAAGGTGTATTTGGGAAAAAACAAGAATCTAAACGACATTCACATGTTATTATCTCTAGGCAACTAATTACATAGAAAAATCCCAGAACCCCGCTCTTGGGGCCCGACAGATTCACTGCCCCACGGCTCTGATCATTTCATCCTATTTAACATTAAAATCATTATGCTTATTACTTGTCGTAAGTCCTAGAAAACAGACATACTTGGCAGTTAGTTCAATTGAATTTATGCATTTGAGTTGTAGCTGAACTTCTTGCTTGCCATTCAGTAGCAACCAAACAAGCAAACTCCATCACTAAAATAATAAACATTGCTTATATTAGATGAGGCGGAGCTTTTACTAGTTTATAAACACTGCCCACTACAGCTATTAACTAAACTAATTTATCAATCTTCTTGTCAGCAACAGTTGTTAATCTTACTACATTATCCTTTTTTGCCTTCAAAACATAATCCTATTTGGTTCAATTCAGTTTTCTAAAAAATGACCAAATTTTGAAACTGATTGAAGTTTTTTCGAAAATAATATTGGTATTTCGCGACATAAAGCTTTTGTAATTTCTGACTGCTTACGAAATTCACGAAAGTTTCTAGCACGTGAATGTTTCTGATATACATAGGCCTACTGTACAAAGGCAGGTGACGCATCCATATAAATCTTGAGGCTAGTTGCTTGTTTTTTGTACTTAAGCAAGGTGTTTACATCCTCATTGCTTCACTTAACGTAGAATTTGAATTGATGCCTGGTTTAGTTTAATGCTGCTATGCTGAATACGGCTACAACTTTAGAACCTTCAGTGGTGTAAAAAAGAAACCAGTGGCCCCTGGCAGCTGGGGCTGTGTAGTGTTCCAGTGGAGTATGAGGCAAATGTCCCATTTACGCAGGTGTTTTTCTGGGTTTAAGGATGTAATTTTAATTTATTTATTTATTTATTTATTCTGTCTTTCTACTGCATGCACTTTCAGTACTTGCGTACTGTTTTTCAAAGTGGTACAGTTACATAAAATAGAAAAGTTAAAAGAAAAGTAATTAAAAAAAGACATACATATATATAAATAGATATCATATATACAATAAAAGTGATTAAGAATTAAAAGAGTTTAAAAAAAATATAATAGACATGTCCATGAAATTTGTTGTTGTTTTGTGTTGAAGTTCATTCCACAAGTTTGTTGAGCGATACAAAAAAGTTCTCTTGCCTTGACAGTTATTCCATTATGGTTCAATAAGGTTATTATGAGATTGACTACGTGTACATTTTGAATGGGATTTGATATTAAATTTAAATTTAGATGATAAATAAGATGGCGCATACCTTTTTAAACATTTAAAAGTCATTAAGGCTAGCTATTTTAAGAGTATGGGTTGGAAGTAGGTATTTTATACGGGTGATGACACCAGTACGCTTAGACAAATTTGAAGATAATTTATTTATGTGGTCTTTCCAAGTTAGTACAGGATCAAAAGTTACACTTAAGTATTTAAAAGAATCAACTCTTTCAATAATATCACCATTTAAATTAAGTGAAATATCTTTAAATTTAGGAAGAATGTAGTTTGTTCCAAGTAACATTAATTTTGTTTTCTTATTATTAATAATTTATTTGTTTTCATTGAACCAGTCAGCTATTTTAGTCAAACAAGAATTGAGTTCTTGTTGTAGAGTGACTGGGTCAGATGAATTACAAAGTATAGTGGTGTCATCTGCATACATAACAACTTTACAGGACATTACATCAGGTAGAGAATTTACATAAATTAAAAATAGAAAGGGACCCAAAATAGATCCTTGTGGTACACCAATATTGAGTTTCATGAGATTAGACTGACTGGAGTTAATAAAAACCGCTTGTGATCTGTCATATGTATGATTTAAACCATTGTAGCTCAATATCATCAATTCCATAATAATGTAACTTTTTTATCAGTAGACCATGATCAACTGTATCAAATACTTTCTTGAGATCCAGAAATATAGCAGCAGTAGCTTTACTATTGTTAAATTTATTTAGTATGAAGTCGGACATATCTATTAGTGTTGTGTTAGTAGTTCTAATGGTTCTTTCTGAATCCTGATTGACATGAGTTGATTAGGTTGTTAGTAGTCAAATAATTATACCTTTAGTATAGGCACAGCTCCAGTAGACCCTATGTTGTATAAGATCCAATGTTTAGTTTCAAGTCCTATTTTTAGAAAGTGATTTAATTGTTTTTTGCTCATCTCCCATGGTACACATTTAGTTTTTAATGCTATTTAACATTAACTTTACATGGTCTCATTATAAAATGTTGTAGTGCTGAATGATTTATGAGAACCTGAGCATGACTAATGTTGAAAAATTCTTAAGTTGTTTCAAATATTTGCTGCCCTCGCAACCCAATTTCCTCCATTACTCTCTGTTATCTCTTAACAAGAGGTAAGTCTGAAGGGTCAACGAAGTCTGGGCATGGAGCGGTGCTGTAATTTTAGAGGAAGTTGAAAGTTGATCCATTGTTGATATGAAATGGATCATTTTGTGCCGGTCTCTGAAGATTACTGAAAATAGATAAATGATGCAGACTTAATGTGTCTGTGAGCTGCTTAATCACCATTAGTCTTATTTTTTGACCTACTTACTTGATCATTGTAGATACACTTCGGTACAATTGTTTACTGGTTGCCATATAAGCATTTATCATTGTTATTTATTATTTAATATTTATATATTTTTAGTCATTTTTTTGTTCTATAATTTATCCTATTATTTCTATGACTTATTTTATCTGTTTTTAAATTTATAATAGTTATACCTTTTTCATTATCCTATTTGTTAACAGAATATTCATCATCACCTACTAAGTTATCATTAACAATTATGTTTGTCATCATCATCATTTTGCCATCATCAATGTTAATTTTGTCATCTATTATAATCCCCATAATCATCATTGTTTTTATATCTCCTCCAATATCACTTTTTATGATTCTCATCGTTATCATCACTGTCATCTCCATCAATGCCGTAGCGAAGATTTTCAAACAGGGCGGGACTATATTAGGGTGGACCCACTTTACACATAAATTCAAATAATGTGGACCAGGTTTTAATAAAGTTGACCATTTTACTCAAAAATCTGAAATATCTGGACCCATTTTCTTAAAATTTTACCCATTTTAGGCTAAATATGAGAAATCTGAACCCTTTTTTCATAACGTGAACTCATTTATGCATGTAATTGCATAACTTGGACCCATTTAAAAAAAGTTGGACTCATTCCTTGTGGACCCATTAGAAAAATTGTGTGGGACTGTCCCAACTGTCCCAAAAGCTGGCTACGGCATTTTCTCCATTATCATCTTCATCATCATCATCATCATCATCATCATCATCAATCAATTTGACATTGGTAATGTTGGATTTTTGTTGTCATACATTTATTATATAAAATATTTTTATTTGATTTTAGGGTCAACTTATGGTAGTTCCTGATGGTCAATGTTGTCCAGAATGTCAAAGTCTGCCATGCCAGTTAGACAGTGCCCACTATCTAGATGGTGAAAATTGGCAGACGACTCCATGTAATTACTGCATATGTGAAGGAGGATTGATATCATGTGTGGAACTAGATTGTATTCAAAAACGCTGTGGTGTTGTAAGTCAAAAATGGTGGCACCCACCAACTGAGTATTTTCTTCCCATAGCATAGGCCTATCAAAATAACCTTAGTGGAAGTCATGTGGTACAGCCATAGATTTATAATAAGAATACTATGGAGTGTTAACTCCAATGCATTCGATGTTCCATAAAATGCAGAGGTGTGTAATGTACTCAACAATATGGCTGTCGTAGATTCAGTCAATCAACATACACTTAAGCATTGTTTATAATGGCGCCCTCAATCTAACATGGAAGTTTAAGTACAGGCTCTAGTTTCCTGTTAAAATTGAGCATCCTGGTGTAGTGAACACAATTTTGATTATTCATTCCTCAATGCTTTATTTTAAAATCAGTTGCTACACTTAGCCTCTTCCTAGCTAGGCTAGCTTAATATTTCAGAATTATTAATAATAATAATTAATTAAATAATATTAGACCGAAGTCTTATTTATGCATGTGTTCTGTATACTAAGCCTGCGGCCATCTTGTTGAGTAATGATACAGAACTCTGCATATACTTGTTGCATAGTTAGCAATCTAGTTGTTATAATACCTCTATTGATGCAGCGGTTGAATTTTGGACTTTACTTGCAGTCATGGGCTCGAGACCAAAGCTTGTCATACGGCTTATGGCGTTGGGCAGGATGCTTTGTCTACACTTGCCTCTCTTTACCCAAGAATATAATAGGAGATGAACGATTCAAAATGAAATTACAGTTGTAGTGCTGAACTACACGCATGACTAGGAATACTCACAGAGAACTGAGGAGGTTGCATGTTATGTATGATTGATGCTGTATCCAGCAACCAGGGGAAAAAAATTGCTGTGAGCAGTTCCCTTTTTATAACTGCACTATATACATTCTCTTAAATTAATAATAAGTAATACTCCAAGTTTATTATTTATTTGTCAATTTTAGAATGAACGGAAAATTGTACGAGATGGTGAATGCTGTGCAGACTGCGTATCAACAGAAGGTAAAGTATTTTGATTGTCAGAAATTATGAAAAAATATAATGGCTATTATGACAGATTTGATGACAGCATTGACATGACATTGAATTATAGTGACAATGACAATGATGACAATGAAAAACGTGATGGTGCTTAAAATGAAGAAGTGATGATTACAATCATTGTGGTATTTGAAAAGTCAAAAGCAGTATTAAGAATTTATACAATATGGAATTTCAAAGCACTACAGATGATAATGAATATGGTAAGTCATAATACTTTTAGAGGTGGTGATGGAAATAACTGATGTAAAAAAATGAGGCCAGACAGAAACATTCAGTAAAGCTTCAAATTAGGTCACTGAAACTAATATCAAACTATCTCTTATACTTAATGTGCTTAATATCATACAGTAACTAATAGAGAGAAATAATTTCCCTATTTTTTACATATTTGGGAATGTTTTATTAAAATCCTTCTTTTGGGGAAGAAGGCCCAATAAGAAAGTATAATACATACTCCAAGTATTGAAATGCACACCATCGTGTTGAGATTCAATATTTTGACATTAATTACGTCATCATCAGGAATGAAAAAATTATCCATATTAGCAAGCTTATATGCACTAGTACCAAAAGTGTTTAACCAATCAAAACATTACCTATAGTAGGTGACATAGCAGTGATTTAAACAAAAGATCAAAGCATTCTTAGTCCACCGATCAAAGCCAACAATTAAAGCTCCTTTGGAGCTCTGAGCCCATTGTTAAGCAAAGGGTGAAGTCTACATATAGCAAACACTTCTTTGAACAATAGGATAAACCAGTTTCGGGAGCTGTCAATAATGTTAGTACTAGAAAATATCAGAGATCCCAAGTTGGAAAAGCAAAAAATAAGGAGATTTTTTTGTGAAGCGATTGCCTCCTGTAGTGACGCGCTGCGATGCCTTACAACGTGCTACGCAATATGAAAGTGTTACACAAAAAGAAGGAAACAAAGTTCAAAATTCTCGCGGCAAAAACTTGGGGCCGGGCGCCATCCACCCATCCATCCATGTGATTTCTGATTTCGTTCATTTGTTGAAATTTATTTCCTCTACTGACAGCCATCTCATTGATTGAGGTCGGCGCTGATGCAAAAGATCGTAACATGGAGGTTAAACAAGGCGAGTCTACCACAGATCAAGGCTTAGCCTTGCCATGGAGCTGTTATTTAGATAAACAACTTAAATAAACAACTCCCTGGTCTAGCTTTAATGACATTTATATGGCTGAGTCAGTGCCTTATATTGGATGGCTTTAAGATAATAAATTTTGTTTCATTGCTCTATCATCGTGGAAATTACATTTTTTGTGGAATTTTCAGGATATTTTAAAACAGGAGAAAATTAATAAAAATCGGGAGGGCGGGAGACGGCCTGAAAAAACGGGAGAAACCCGCGATTTTCGGGAGACTTGGGATCTCTGAAATATTAAACCAAATTTATTACTTACATTACAGACAACATTATCATTTTCAAGTATACCCTATAAGCCTAAAACATATTGGAATGCCTCACAGGCCCAATAACATAGACATCATCTTACAAGTGATATTTAGGTAATAGTTTAATAAAATTCTCTTTTTCTGATAAGAAAGCATACTGAAAGTTTAATAATATAGATATTATATCTTGCAATTTGCAGTTGTGAATAGTTTATTAAAATTCCCCATGCTTAAGGGAACTGACTGATAATTTGGTAAGGCTGAATTCCATGTCTTAAAAATACCTTGTATATGATATTGAGAAATGGTTTATTAAAACATCCCTTCCTTAGGCAGCAGTTGACAGACTGTGTAGGGAAAAACCAATACTATGCCCTACAAACATCCTATATGACATTTAGGAATGGTTGATAAAACCCTTCCTTAGGCAGCTAACTGACAGACAGTGTAGGAAAGAACCAATATCATGCCCTACATGTGTCCTGCATATGACATGGGAATGGTTGATAAATATAGTCCTTCCTTAGGCAGCAAATGAGAGACAGTGTAGGAAAGACATCTTGCGTATGACATTTGGGAATGGTTGATTAATATACTCCTTCCTTGGGCTGCAAATGGTGGACATGATGCTGTGATTCACGTCCCAATGAGACATGAAATGATGAAAAGGAGAAAAGCTAGGTTATCTTGGAGACGTGCTTTATCCTCAGTTGGTGCGTTGAATCATGAAGTCTGAGTGTGTTTAGTTTTATTATAAGTGAATGCTTTTCGCTGTATTTGATGATGAATGATTGTGAATGCTCAGGGATAATTATTATGAGTGATATTAGTAGTATTTTGAGTATAAAAAAATGGCTTTTCTTTAAATGTCTAAGTTTTTGTTTGTTTTTAATAATTTGTTTCTTTATCATCATCGTTGTCGTCGTCATTATCATCATCATCGGCAGCAGCATTGTCATTCTCATCATCATCATTATTATCAATCGAATGGCTGAGCAGTTAAGGCAGGGGCATTGCAACCTACCGCCACAATATCAGTGCTTGTTCAAACGCCACGCTCGCCTATGGTTCTGGTAGTAGAATAAGTCTGTTCGGATAAGGACCCAGCGTACACAATGGCTTGTTTGCACGTCTATAAAGAACCCAGTACATCATTCGAGACAAGTAGGGGATACACCGATGTACTGGTACAGACAGTCGGTGTGGTGGACGACGGGAGTTGCTGGTATCTGGTTACCGGGTAGCACAGACATGAAGGGACTCATAGGGGCGAAGGAAGTTATTGATCGAGTTTCTAGTCCACATATCAAGTACCATGAGCATCTTGTTTGATGGATACTGGTGCTATACAAATCTACACTAGTATTGTTATTGTTATCAGCATGGTTATCATATTCTCCAAAATCATCATTACATGCACCATCACCACAACCAACACCAACATTGTCATCGTCGTCATCATAAGACCATCAGCAACATCGTTATCATCATCGTTATCTTCAACATTGTCCTTACCATCATCGTCATCATCATCACATTATCTTTACTAATGTTCTCTTCAATTGTTCTGATTGTCAATTTTGTATTGTCTCATCCTTATGATGTGTCAGAGTTGTAAATAAAAAATATATATTCCATCATTACCTAAAATAACCTGAATGTTTTGTGTTCTTGCAGATTATTGTGAATATGATCAAACTATTAAGTACCATGGTGAGGTATGGAATGTATCATCTTGCCAGTATTGTATATGTACTCGAGGAAACATAGATTGCTATAAGACTGACTGTGATCGCATCTTATGTAGAGAGGTATGTCCTTTTAAATTTTTATAATATATATGTGTATGCCTATGTCAGGGGCGGATCTAGAGATGCCCAAAGAGGTGGCTCGAATTGGGGGCCGAAAGTGGGGCCGATCTTAAGGGATCCAGGGGCATTTCCCCGTGAAATTTTCTAGACACCTGAAAATAACCTCTGAGGCATTTTGGGTGATCATTTTTTTATTCTTTTTTTTGTTTTTACTTTCCATACTTTCCAACAGGGGGGCAGGGCCGTGCCGCCCCTTCCCCCTCCCTCTAAATCTTCCCCTGTAATCTTCCCCTGCAAGTAGTGCACAACTAGGTATACTCCCCAGGGAGCAGAGAAGGTTGCACTCTGTGTGTTGGTTTGCCATTGTATGTTATCCAATGATGAGGGTAATATTAATAATGCTCAGCGACTTTGATCATATAATTTGGAATTGGCACTATATAATTATTATTATTATTATTGTTATTATTATTATTATTATTATATATGTTGAAACTTGCGGTACACCACGTAAGTAGTTCTGAAAAGAACTGTTGTAGTTGAGAAAGTCTCATTATTATTATTATTATTATTATTATTATTATTGTTGATATTATTATTGTCATTATTGTTATTATTATTGTCATTATTATTGTTATTATTATTGTTATTGTTGTTATTATTATTATTATTATTATTATTATTATTATTATTATTATTATTATTATTATATATATGTAAATAAACAGGGTAGCCATCCCAAAATAGTTTAGCAATCAATAATTAAAGGGTTGGTCACTAAATTGTTAATTGAAATTTTTTTTAAGATAATATATATTTTCATCAGTTTAATTTTAATGTCTGACATTTCAAGTGAAATATGTGAGGTCTCACTACAAAATGAGTCTCATGGTTAGAAATTCAAAAATTGAGTTTATATTATATTTAAGTAGATCACATTATAAGCTTTCATTTGGTCTTTGAATGGCTTCCCTACTATAAGTAAATCCAGAGATGTGAGCATTTAAAGTTTAGGTGTATAAGAACCACGTTTTGAGAAAATCAGCCTCAAAGATAAACTAACCTGTCCAAATAATACGACTAGAATTACAGAATATGTGCAGAGAACACTGTTTTGGCAAGAAAATTCACTTACAAAGTATACAATCATAAAATATAAGTACCAAGTTATTCAAAAAACATTAAAATCAAAATTTTGTTAAAATGTTGACTTTGGCCTGTTTTGGTGAATATCTCAATATGCTTTCACCAACGATGCGTCTCATTTCGCAGTGAGACCTCACATATGCTGTTAACCATCAAACCCTTATTTTGGTTAGTAAAATTGTTACACAGGCCTATAATCCATATTTAAGGTATCAAATAATATATTAATTATTAATATTATTTAATATTTATTAAAGCTTGAAAAACTGTATTTTTAAACAACATCCAAGTACTCTGATGTCCTCTGTAGTTAAAAAAAAAAAAAAGAAATATGTTAAAAAAAAGACCCCATTTTTTGTGCTTTGGGAGAGCTTAATACAGATTTTTTTCCCATGCTACTATCATCTATTCCTCCATGTTGCTACTATTGTGATAATTACCATCATCATTTTATCTTTGTTCTTATTGTCATCATAAATGTTATTCTCATTTATATTAAATAGGGTCAGGTATTAAATCACCGTGCTGGTCGTTGCTGTCCAGAGTGCAGCGAGCCAGATGGCATTTGCTTCTTTTCGGGAATCTCATACTCTGTAAGTGATTAGGGCAACAGGGCTTCTTTTTTGTTTATTACACAACATATATTTTTTTTAGAATAACCTTATGACTTGATTAGGCCCTTTCATAAGATTAAAATTTAAAAAAAAAACATTTATGAAAGATATAACAATTTTTTTAAATAATTCAAATATAAATTCAATTCAATTATAATTTTTTATCATTTGCCTCTTTGTACATGAAAATATAAACATAAAAAAATTATTATGTGGTACCTGAGTTTTGAATTGTAAACAAGATTATTATTAATTTCTGTAAATCTACCTTGCATATTAAAATAGAAGATTTAGAGTAATAATAAAATTGTTCCATTCAGGATGCAAACATAAATCAAATCAAAGTTTATTTTTACTTTTGAACGTAAGAATTTATAGAAAATTCACTTTGTGAAAAAATATTCAGAAATATATTGCAAGAAATGAATACAGAAAATCAACCATAAATGAATGCAGAAAACGATACAAAATGATTTTTTGAATGAAAGCTGCAAATACTTAGTTTAGATGATTACAAATAAAAGTCTGTCTTAGACATTAACACATTTATTAATGATGTTCTGTATGTCATTAATTTTAAAAATAATTATTATAAATAGTTATTATACTTACAATTAAAAATTGAATATCAAATTTTCCCCATCAATTAATAGACAGTTGAATAATACATTTGCTGTATTTTTAAATAATTTAAAAAAAACATTTATTAACAGTAGAAAAATTATATTGTTGTTAAACAACATCTGTCCATATTTGAATATATGTGCAAGTTATTAACTTACAATTAAAAATTAAATGAGATCATATGTTCCCCATTAATTAATTATTATTTAAATAATAATACATTTGCTGTATATTTCACAGAATAATGATTTGTGGCAGTTAGATGAATGTAGCATTTGTAGCTGTGTACAGGGAGAGGTGCTTTGTTACCTGCCTGATTGTCCCCCATGTGAACTAGGGACAGTTCCTGTCCCTGTACCTGGCCAATGTTGTCATCGGTGTGAACCAAGTGAGTTGATTGCTTTTATGACATCTTTTGATGAAAGATGACAGACGCACTAATCAACACCATATAAACACCTTTGTGTTTAGAAAAAAATAAACATGTTCTGATAGATAAATCCAAGAGTCCATATCAACTTGGCCTTATAATAGCTTAGTTGTTTGGGCACCAGAATCATAATCAGAGAGTCTTGGATTAAAATTCCAATGGAAACTGTTATCAGTCCTTTTTTCTGAATATATAGTTTTGTGTTTTATATGTGTAATGAAATAAGGATGATCATCTAATAATATTGTTAATAATTTTGGAATTAAATTTACTTTTACCAACACCCTATGATTATAACATTAATACCACATAATGTTATAAAATAGTTAAGTTTATTTATTGCTTAATTGTTCTGTTAAACAAAAATTCTTGTCAATTATTTTCAAGCTGTTATTTCTTTCAGGAACCTTTCATTGATTTTTTTAATTTGATTTGATTATAATTACAAACAAATCTTAAAATATATATAACATTTTTTCATCCAAATAAGTACACAGAAAAAAAACAGTTCATCTCACATGCTTATGCATTTACAATAAGCCCACAGTCTTCCGTCTGCTGCCATTTTAAAAATGTAAACATCCTTCAATTTCCAGTGCTTCAAATGGCTGTGTTGCATCTTGTAGCATTTATGTATGTGTTACTATTGGAATGCACTTTAAATGTGACAACCTTTGACATTTTTTGGCTGACTGAAATTCAAAATACAAATTGCTTTCTACTTTGCATATTTTATGCACGTTTTTAATTATAGTTCCATTAAAAATTAGATACAATATTTTCCAAGTTAAAAAATGAACTATTTCTATTCACACAGATATTTTTGCTATTGGGTAATTTAAAGACTTTTGTAGTTAAATGTCTGTAAATGTGGCTGTTTACTTGATCATTTTAAACTAGCAAATCAGTGTTTTAATTGAATATTTGAGGTTTTCTATATTTTAGCACAAACACACAGTATATTATTATGAGTTAAGCAGTGTAATGATGGCAATACAATATACAAATACAACATGGTTTAAGGGTAAGTAGTAAATTCTACTTACCAAGGTGTTGATTTGCACTGCCTTCCAAACAGTGGTCTGAATCTGAATATATACTGACAGAGGACCCCACTTGGGTATATGCGTCATTGTGCGTCATTGATTTGCAAATATTATAGGTGCTATTAATTACTAAAGATATATTTATTAAAAGTATATATCTGACTGGTTAATAATTTTGAAATTGCCAAAAAGGTATATAATTTGATTGGTTCTTCAAGAGGGGCTCCAACGACTGATGTTGAGGCAGCATCACTTGTACTAATGCATATTAGCAGAAACACCTCATAACTTTTATGTAACAACAGCGTCAGTTTCAGCCTAGTGCCTCAGTTCTACTTAGACTGCGACAGAAAATGACACAAGTCAGGAAGTGGTAACCCCTCACCAAAAAAACAACCTTCTTTTTCCTTTCTACTTCTATATATATATATATATA